AGCCGGCATCATCGAATTAGCATTTGTTTCTTAGTTACGGGCGTTTTGGTAGTGCATTACACCGACCCTCCTGCGATTTCGGAATGGCGGATTTTCATGAACAAATCAAATTTTGCCAAAGACTCGCCAAAACCGCTACGGAAACCTATGAAATGCTAAAGCAAACATTTGGGGAGTCCGCAAACTTTTGTGTGGCATTCACGTTTTATGCCGCTAGGGGGTGCGGCCTACATTCATAGTGAATCAGTGTGCCAGCCGGCATCATCGAATTAGCATTTGTTTCTTAGTTACGGGCGTTTTGGTAGTGCATTACACCGACCCTCCTGCGATTTCGGAATGGCGTTTGCATCAAATTTTGCCAAAGACTCGCCAAAACGGCTACGGAAACCTATGAAATGCTAAAGCAAGCATTTGGGGAGTCCGCAATACTGCGTTGCTAGCTTTACTACATTGAGAGGTGTAATGCATTCGCTCGCCTGGGTTCATCTGTTCGTGTTGCAACGTTGTGCGGTTTTGACATGTCCTTGAAGTACGCAAGTTCCTCAGTCAAAAATTAGGTGATTCACATAACATATTTATTTGTAGGGGTCTGTTTGCTTAACCACTTGCCACGTCAGTCATTCTATCTCGACTTTCTGAGAAAGGTTAATTAATGTTATTTGTATGCTACGGTTTAGTACGTTTAATGCGAAATGAAACGTTCAGTTTCAAAACTTTTTGCTACGTTAATCCTCACAAAAGCTTAAATAAATCACATACGTGTACGTGTTGACGTATTTATTATTACAGGTCGCTGTTTCTTACCAAATGTATATATTATTGCAGATTAGAAAAAAAAATATTTCATGGCTCTCTGCAAAGTATAGGCTTTATTAAAATTCGCTTATAATTCATTTTAACTGTATTGACGAAAATGGTTACCAATCAGTACATACAGGCCCACAGTATTAGTTTCCGAAATACAATATTATAAATATTGTTATTAGATTAATTGACTTCGTAAGCCATTTAAAGACACACTTTACTGGAATATGTGACTTGGATTACGATACGTATGTTAAGATAATGCAGACAATGGAAGACTTTGAGGCAAGGGAAAATTCTGGCAAAGTCAGAACCAATGAAGCTTCGTCTTCATCATAATCACTCCAAAACTTCGCGTTCCCAAGGAAACGAAAGGGAGATCCCACCAGTTATGATGGGGTAATCTAAACTCAGTAAATAACCTCGCGGGTAAATACAAATTCCTCACTCTGTAGACAAGAAAGTATTGGGGTGAATCTCCCTTCTGTGATCACAAATACAAAAGATGAAAAACCTATTTATACGAAGGTTTGTCTACCATAGACTTGACATATACTAGCCAGTTATTGGATCTGATGGTTTACGAAACCTAATGTAACATGTGTGCACTGATCAAATAAAGCAAAGCTGTCCTGCTACACTCCATTGTGACGCATGGCGGGGAGACGAAGAATAACTCCTACTCGTTCTTGACCTCACCACTAGATGGGTGGAGGGTGAATGGTCAGCGTCACACACGGCCGTGCTTTACTGCTGGGACAGCCTGTACCCATTGGATATGGGGCGGGGTGGGCCCCAGATCCGGTCTGGACTTATAGGATAGAAATAATTTAATTTGGTGCTGCCGGATATCGAAGTCCTGTTATTCCGTCAGTATTCAGACACTATATTGACTGACTGGTATTTTTCTACCTTTAAACATTATAGTTAAAAGGTAAATACAAAATTGACATTTATAAATATGCACTTAAATTTTCATATTATGTGAGTTAGAAGTTAGATCGAGAGGGTCATACAAATTACCAGCATAGAATTCATTTTAGTTATGTTTATTTAATGACGCTGTCAATAGCTGTGTTTAAAAGCGTCGAAAAATAAGATAAATAATTAATAAATAACTATGTCGAGATTAATGTTTCGAGCGTAGTTTATGTTACTGCTCAGATATTTGTCGGGAGAGTTCAGGAAAACTTCATGATACCTCAGGCATTATAGACGGTATTGGGACGAAGATTTGAATTAGAGACCCCCAGAATACGATGGAATCCTAACCAGTCAGCTGAAGCGTTTTATGTGCTGCGCAGTCCTTGTGACGTACACAATATGGATGGCGTCTCTTCTATAGCCTGACGGTCAGACATCGTGACCAAGTCAGGACATATATCCTGTATCGTAGAACTTTAATTCTGGAGAGTGTAATTAAACACGAATTTAAACCATAATTTGCGCACAAAGTAATATATCCATTTAAACTTGATGTTATGGTTTAAGAAAATAAATTTTGAAGTTTTCTATGCATTAATTACTTGTTATTTAAGAGCTATAATATATCGGAGAGCACATTATGGGATTACTGAGAGAAAATAGCGTTCTAACAATACAAATATTTCAAAACAACTTTTGAAAATAATCTCTTTTATTTAAAGCTCCACATGGATAATCCTCCAATGAAAAGTCAAAGTATTTTTAAAAGGAACTGTTCTTTCAAAAACTTTTGCAGTCAAAATTATTAGACGGCCAGTCACGGGCAGCAAGTTACAATTTATGTGCTAGTACCCGACTACTATTAAATCACTGCCTTTTAATCTAACACCTGCCGTAGATCGCATGGTATTATTACATTCGATACGGTTGTGTCGATAGTCACGACCACACAATATATCGCGTCTATTGCTAGAATTCCGCGCTGTTGGGCTGTAATAATTGGCCACTGTAGCACTACAGTCCCTGACATCCGAATAAAAATGAAAACTTAGGATTCACCGACAACTCTGTGCGCTTGTTATCATTACAGTAGATTCTCGATTGTCCGACTTTCGTTGTTTTATCTAACGCTCCATTTTATCAACAGTGAACTCGACATGTAGCGGAATGAATCACACTTCTCCCATAACGCAAATCCACATTTCACGTAATAAGCTGATTTATCGTTTTGAAGCTTTATATAATTATATACACCTGAGGATGGTTCTTTTAGGAACTGAAACATGTCGTGAAACATGAAAAATGATGGTCTAATGTAAATCGAATATTTCGATAAAGAAAATCATTTAATATTTTAAATGTTAATTATTGTAATATTTTAATATTTAATAAGAATTTATTGTGATTAGACGGACAAGATTTAATATATACTGATTTAGCTTGTTAAATTTTAGTAAATTAATTACATCGTAAACTGAGTTGATATTTACCATTCTGTATTATCCGACAGTCTTAGGTTACGTTTGGATTGAATGATAGGAATTCGAATATAAGTGTTTTAAGTGTCTGCAGTTTGCCAAAACTGTCAGCAAAGACTGGCTTTAGGATTCCAATTGGCTCATGATGAAAGCCAATGTTAATCTGTTTTGAGATCTAAAAACAACCACCACATTTATCTTTCCATACAGAAGCTGTGGTGCATAAAAATTGTTAATATGTACTAGGTTCTGAGAAACACATACTTTTCAAATACATTATTTGCGAATCATGAAACTGAATGACCTGTATGTTCATTTGATTAATATATGTAGTTTATTGGTCTACAGTTACTACTAGACACGACCCGTTGGATTTTAGCTGGGATGATTTCCTTCGTATCTTTATGTGCCACCTAATTCACCTCCTTTATCAATGCCATAACACTATCTTCTTCATTTGTTTCTCCCATCCATTTCAACTTCAAAAACCATTAAATATATCAGCCGTGCTATATACTGTGTTATTAAAACATTTTCTTCAACATTAGCACTTCTGAAAGTTGACTAACTGTTACATCATTGGTATAATACTGCTATCTAGCATCAATTTTCAGCACTATTAAGAATCTGTAAGAGGAAACAAACATTAATGCAAACACCAAATTAACATTTAAACAAGAGTGATACAGCTTAGAGATTGTGTTCTTGTAGTTAAGAAAGAATTAATTAATAATCACACTATTTGATACATATAAGTATGATACACGGTGTAGTATCTGTGTACGCAAGTTTAATACATTCCTTATTGTTAAAATAAAGTGAGACTGTCTCTCTGTGGAATGGAGGATGCTGACAGATCAATTCTCTATTCCCAAAATGAGGTTTCACCTGCGAGTAAGACATTGACTCTTCTGGGATTTTGCTCCGTGTAACCTGAAAGAAATTAACCTACGATTTAAAGGTGATGACTGCCTCTGAGTCTCCTTGATGATGGAGGCAGTTAGAACATCTGACACGTCTGTCAATTTCTTGGAGATTACACGTAGCAAAATCCCAGAAGACAGTTTTCTGTAGCCCTCCCCACATGACACGAGTGAATACCGAGCAGTGGTGAAATGATATTGACAGGGAAAAAATCGAAGGATTCTTCACAGTGCCATTTCGCCCACCAGTAAACCCACATTTACTGCCCTGGGAGGATCTTCACAATGACAAGCCGGCCTATGGTATGGGACGGAATATTTCTATATATTAATTCCACTTTTGAAATAACTAATACAGCACTAATGAAGTGAAATTTTATTTAAGAAATATTTTTTATGTTCACTCCATCGAGGTAACTGCGATAAATCAACTCGTGTTCTTTTGGGTGATTAATCAATAGCTATGTCCCTGAATTGTGGATTCTAGTGACAATGTGTAGAATGATAAGAGGTGTTGAAAATTTAACACAAACAAATATAATCCGGGTTGGAATCAAGCCATGATATTCAATGATCGCCCGACAAAACAGTGGTCGCTTTAAATCTCACATATGTGTTAATTTGTCACACGTGAATGTCTGGAATCGGTGACTGAACAATTCTATTCCCGCAGGGATTCAATTTCCACGCTGTTATCAAACAAACATTTTCACGATCGCTTGGTCCTTAGTGTGAAATGTTCTGTGCTCCATTATTACTGTACTACATCGGAGCGCATGTGTATTCAGAAGGTTGTTCACACTGCCGAGGTGCGGCGCTAGTGCTGCTAGAAATAAGACGAGATGTAAACCTACCGTAGTAGTAACGAGTATCGCGATGTACACCGTCGTGTGAAGTGGGCGTCATGTAAAAGAGCCATGTGGACGGGCGTCGTGAATCTTATCTTAGCAGCCACCGCAATCCTAGGTGAGTGTCTAATGACGAGCTATTGATATATATTCAGTTTTATTATTAGCGGCACAGTTTAAAAATATATGTTTATTTATTATAGGTTTTCTTAGTGCCCCACAAACTCAACTGGGGTAGGAATAATTATAAAAAATAATGAAATCCATAATAAAGAGCATTTGTCTGATGTGCATACTTAACACTTGATGAGCACACCACACATAACATCTATCTATCTGCACACTTTAAATATATGTAATTAATTAAGAAATAATATAATTACCTGATTTAGACCAAATATTTCAAACATAATTTAAGAATGATTTATTTCTTAAATTTAACTCAGACGTCCATTTGTAGTTTATTATTATTACAACTATTATTTTTTATTTTATGCCTTTAAAATAGTATTATAAATAGTCCTTGTACAAAAAATACACAGCTGCTTACAATATAATCATCAAAATTTATGTGAAATGTACAAAGCACTCATTTTTGTGTAGAAAATTTTACGTTAATATTAAATTATATCTTGGAAGCCTTTAGAAATTCAGTTCTTACCTCAAAGAAAACGTCTCCATAACAAAAACAAATTGGTTAATGCTATTTAGGGAAATAATCAATGCTTACTTTGTGAATCACTTAAACCTATTAATAAACTGTGAGCAAAATGTAGAGTTACTAATTATTAAAGCAAGTGGTACATATAATTACCACTGGGTTTTAAAATGTTATATACATGTAATCGTTATATACATGTGTTCTTTAAATAACTAAGTTACTTTTTGAAGAATCGATAAACAGCTAAAAAATTTCACTCAGAGTTTAAAACCTTTGTACACGTATAAGAATCAGGAACCTTTATCTCATAAATCTATTTAAACTATAATTCTGAGAAACATCTTGCATTATCTTGAATGTTAAGCTTCTTCATAACCAGTAGACTTAATGAGCTCACACACTTTTAGATACAAAACTTATAATTTGAAGTTTTTATTTAAACTAACATCTTGATAACTTATGGTTGAATTAGACAAAGGCTATGCAAGCAGAAGTCAAACTTTACAATTTCCGCTTTGTACAAATTTTGACCTCTAGAATGTACTTACTGACATGAAAGTTTCAACACTGTTTGTTTTTAATACAAGTTACACCATTAGAGTTCCAGAAATAAAACTAAAATCTACCAGCCACTTTGGAAAATCCACTCGCTTATAGACAATCCTCCATACAAATAATATTATGCCTACTTCCCATTGGTCGTCATTAGTTCGCCTATGGCGCTCATAAAGTGGATTACTACATTTCTGAAGATCTAATATGTGTTAATTCCACTAATCTGGGCGGATATATCATTGAAGCTGTTGGCTTGGTTTTAATATTGAATTTATTTTCGAGCTCAATTAATTAAGGAAAAAGACTTGCCTCTAATGTCGAAATATTTCATATTTAATTGATGCAGCGAAAAGATTTTATTTTTTTGCCTGTAATTTCATGTTGCATAAAATATATAAAATAGCATGGTATGGATGCAGTAGTATAATTAACGTACTATAATTATTTCTGTCAAATTTTCCTGTTTCCGGAATATTTTAATTGCGTAAATATAAAATGTGAACGCATACTGATTTCTGTTAAATACAACTTGTCTTATAAATTACAGAATTATAAATGGGAAACATGTCTGCAGACCACATAAGTGACTCAAAAACAAATATTTTTACAAGTTATCTTAAGAATGAGATAAGTGTGTGGACTGAATTAACATGACTCACAATACAGCCAAGTGGCACACTCTTGTAAAATCAACAATAAACGTTTGGGTTTAAAAATGTCAGGTTATTTGACTAGTTGGGTGATTGTTAGGACTGAAGAAACGATCTACCACATGTACTCAGTTCGTATGAATGAGAACTGACGAAAAATTGTACTTTCAATAATAAATTTTTAGGAGTCTGGGCACAATTCGTAATATTCCCATAATTTAATACAAAGTTTTGACTCAAATTCATTTAGTATGACTGAGGTTACAGAACCACATTCCACAAACATTATATAATTTACCACTGGGCGAACACGCATGTGTGCACAAATGCCAGTCATTCAACATTAAACTTGAATCCCCGTGTTTCTAGTAAAGTGACATAAATGATCTCAGAGTACTATAATACTCCGTTGAGAAAGTTTTCAAAATAGGCCCTCAATAATTTGACAGTTAATCGTCCGCAATGGACGCAAGGTATAAAACTGTAGGCTTATATCAGAAAGTTTCGGTGCTCTTTGTGAAGAACTTTTTAACAAAGTTCAAAGTTTCACTGCCTCATCTCACATGAAGTGTTTGAACAACATTGTCCCCGCTGACACGCTCGGTATCACAAATTCTTCTATTTTTGTCCGAAACGTATGCCTTTGTATAAGTACAAGGACAGAAAGGCGAATAAGGGGCGTGGATGACACTGATTATGTCCCAGAGCCGATCTGAACATGATGCTGGACACTGTGTTATTTCTAACTTTACTTAGGCTACAAAACTTACAAGAGTATTATAAATATCATTCTTATTATAAGTCTCATTGTTTTAAATTAAACACTTTGAAGCACGAAGTTTATCTAAATAATATGAAATCTAAGATTTTCACGGCGGTGAAAATGACGATGTTTATCTTCTGGGTAGTAGTTTAACACCACGTGGACTTTCAAACAGATACCCACATTTCGTAGAAACATAATTCTTCCATCTTCTGAGCTGAAGATGGTGGCAGTATGTTCCTCCGAAACTATGGTATCAACTTACAGGTTTACACGGTGTTACAACCTACAAGGCAAACATCATCATCTAAATAATATTTTAAACTGTAATTTCGGTCTCAAGGACAACAGAATACATTTTCGTTGTAACGATAAACCAGTTAATATTGTTTAAAGAAACAATAGTTGTTTATTAACTTTGTGGGGGACATAATGTCTTGCTGAATGTTAAATTTTGTGATACATGCACGTTATCCCCGTGCTTTATAGATTTTGTAAGGTGAGTAAACTATAGTAGGTTATATTAATTTGAACATACATTTTGAATAATTACAGAACGCTAACCTCCACTTGTCACTTGGAACCACAGGACGAAAAGAACCGAATGCAACTGCATATAACCCACATAATAAATTAAAATCGTATTGATTTTATTCAATCAATTGCACTGAATAAAGATGAGAGAATTTAAATAAGCCCCTACCAATACCAGAGCAAAAATTTGCATTTATTTGATTGGTTATAACTGATAACGAGTTTCTGCTCTTACATTTTTATTCCGGACAAGCGAATAAAACGAAGCTTTTCTGAGTTCATTACTTCCAATTTAAAATTTGTACGGGGAATTTCAAGAGTAAGTAGAAACGTTTTGATATTATTACAAAACGTATTATTTTTTATTGAATAACAGCAATATTCTATGGATTTACTAACTTGTTTAAACCCAACTCAATGTAGAAGCTAATAGTCGCTTATGTAGTGAGAAAATCCACGAACTTTATCGATTCGAAATTTGAGCCCTATCCTTAACTAGTTGAATATTGTCCACATAAGATCAATTTTAATATTATCCTCCTATCCATAACTACGTCTCCTAGTTGATCACTTTTCTTTAGATTTTCCGACGGAAAAGGAATGCATTTCTAATTTTTCCCACATATGCTAAATGACCTGACCATCACATACAACGTGACATGTTAAGTTACATTTAAATTGGACTGTAATCATGAATATTTTTTAACTGTCGTTTATATGACTTATATTCAGGCACTGCACGCTCTTCGGATATGAACTGAATTGTCCTTTTGTGTGCACAATCGTATGATGCAACATACAACGGGATAAATTAACTTTGAATTTACAAGGTCGAGCATTTGACTGTTCGTAGAATAACTCGTCCAATAGTGAACGATAATTTTCATGTACAGAGCACGTCTACTGCTGCCACTTTTAATTATTAAGTGCAGGCGATAAGTACATTTATTGCAGTACAGTGAACAAACAGAAACACACTTAAATACATGAGCCACTACACCCAGAATACATGTACACTTGTTATGTTAATTTCTAAGCATAACTTAAAATGCATTTGCTTTAAGTTACTGGTTGAACCTGAAAACTGAAACTGTGTATCAAGACGAAACTAAAATTAATATAACCAAATTTATTTTCAATTATGAATGATACAAATATTCTAATTTACTGTGTAATTCTTGTTTTATTTTATATTTGAATTTAGGACCTTCAGAATATAAAGTAGCAGTTCTAACTCTAATGTAATAAAAATATTTAATGGCGATCTATTAAATGTCTTGTAATATGAGTCCGCGTTAAGTGTAAGCCCGATGAATTCAGTTCACACACTCACACATTTTGTATTTAACATATACATCTTTATTAATATTATTATCCCATTTATTCACCACTTTATGGGGTATGTACTTCTATGTACAGCAGCAGCTATTTCCGAAATACATTTTGTTTTTAGCAAGTGCTAAATTTTATAGGGTATTTACATATATGTACCCGAGACAAACCTTGTCCCTAAGGTACATAGGGCAGCAGCTATTTCCGAAATACATTTTGTTTTTAGCAAGTGCTAAATTTTATAGGGTATTTACATATATGTACCCGAGACAAACCTTGTCCCTAAGGTACATAGGGCAGCAGCTATTTCCGAAATACATTTTGTTTTTAATATGTATTACATGTATTATATAGTTTTATTGTGAGGGATGACTATATATTTTACGACAGCGTCTTTCGAATGATGTATGAAGATCCTAAAATTTCAGTTTTCTGAAGTTCCCTGATGTTGTGTTCGCCCGGGATGTTGGCCACAAATTTTCTAAGTGACTTGGAGACAGTTCTAGTTACTCCTATAAATATTGGGATTATTTTTTCTTTCACTTCCCACATTCGCTGTATTTCAATCAGAAGGTCCTTGTACTTCAAGATCTTCTCCCCTTCCTTCTTTATAACATTCCTGT